CTTTTTAAAGGGCATATCGGTTTTTCACGTCCTTAATTTCAAGTTCAGTTTCAAAACCAACTCAATATAGTTACGTATGAAATCTATTTCTTTTTTATAAAAAAATTATCCGCGTTTTAATCTTTACTTTAACTCTCATTAGCAATTCTAATAAAATAAATAAGTAAGTAGACAATTTAAATGTTTTGAAAATATAGATGCAAAAATTGTGAAATATTTTGATATTTTTTTAAGAAAAACAGTTCAACGGCGAAATAGGGTAGATACCAGGCAGTTCAAATAATACGTAAGCACTTAACAGTGGAAGGCGGTTTGTTATTTGCTTATTTTACCTGATAAGGGGATAAGGATACGAGCAATGCTCACGTTTAATATTCATTACTTATTTTCAAACTTTTCTTAAAAGTAAAAAAAAAATTACTTGTGAAAAAATTTCAACTTTTATTCTAAAGTTGAATAACGACAAAAAATTATTTTTATTAAAATTAAAAATTACAAAATAATTTTATTATTTTTATTTATTTATATTAAGTGTTTTGAACACAAAAGGAAAGATACAGTGATCTACAATAACACTAAAATCAATACAATATACATTTAGCTTTTACAAAATTCAAAATAGTGAAATTTTAGGTGCATCATACTTAACTTTATATAGGTATATGGCATTAATAAAATTAAGCGAGAGTAGGGGAGAGTGGGGTCAATTGTAACAGGGTACGATTGTAACAGAGCAAAAATTTCGAGTGTCGGGTTCTAGATTTGGTTCCTAGGTGGCACACAAGGTGTATTTAATAAATCTACATATTTAATAAATCTACCTGATGGCAATCATTTTTATGTAGTTTTGAGAGAGTTAGATCACAAAAGATATTTTCACGCCACGCAAGTACTTTTTTTGGTATTAGAATATTATATTGTAGCAAAGTAATTTTGTTTAAGCAAATAAAAATTAGTAACCGAATATGTAAGTGGACACCTTAATTAACATTTCAATAAAAAAAAAGATTAGTTTTGCTAATTAACTAGCATTGTTTTTAACAAATGAAGCTGAAATGGCGTCTTGGGGACAATTGTAACAATAAGTAAAGGGACGATTGTAACAGCTGAAAATAAATAATGTTATGTTTACAAACCATTACTTAAGTCTTTAAGAACCACCAATAGTTTCCTATATCATTTATATTATATTGCATGTGCATTATTTTATTTGTCACCTTTCACAGCATAAATTAAAATTTTTAACCCCTTAAAGTTAAAAGCTTAACCCTTTAGGTCTCTGCTCATTATTATTTTTACTCTTAAAATATCACTACTATTTTGATCAATAAAGAAATATATCACAACTATGATACTATGTTTTAGTTGAATTTATGAACTGTTACAATTGACCCCGTAAGTGGGGACAATTGTAACAAGTGCTCGACTGTCAAAAATTGTTAATAACTAATATAATAACATTTAAAATTAGGTATTTATTTTTTTTTTCTAGTAGAGGATAGTCTACTTTACACGTCTGTCAATTAATACTAATAATATATTGGATTTTTTGTTAGTTAAAAATAGTTAAGTAAAAAATTTTACAATTGACCCCACTCTCCCCTATACTATTCAATTAAAAAAGTTAAAGTACTAAACCAAAAAATATTTCATACTGAAATCTTATATTTTATTAAAAATGCGGTAAAATTAAATTGATTACTCGAATTAGCCAATATTGTATTTTTTTATTAAGCATTTGAAATACTTTTTTTCTCACAGCTTTTAAGATTTGAGTTCGTTTTTTTTCTTTAAGGAAAAAAGGTTTCAGAATAGTTTGTTAGGAGTGATATTTCTTTGCGAATTTTATTTTTTGATTTTTATTTATTGCTTAAGAAGTAAAAAATTATCGTAGATTAGCTGTGTACAGTAAAATTTCATAGCTCAAAACCTCATAACTAAAAAACTTATTTTTTAAACAGATTATGGAATTTTTTAGATGAGAAATTTTATTATTGAACCACAAGACTGTAATCTAGAGTAGGAAGAGATATTTACAGATGAATCATAATAGTTATCACTTTTGATTAAACATTAGGTGAAGATGTTTGATTATTTTTGCTTTCAAAAGGGGGGGGACACAATTGCAATACATTTATAGTAAGAACATAAAGAAATAAGGCAATCTAGGACATTCAGCTGACAAAGTAAATACAGTACGAAAAAAAGAACACCCTAAATAACACTTGATCTAGTGATTGGATCTTTACATACCCAAGTTAAAATTTCTGATGGTTTTCCATTGATGGACCAACATAATCTTGATGGTAACCATCCATAATTCCATCATGAACCACTATATTGTTTGATGGTAATCAACATGAGTAATCATCACCTCAATGTAGGAATTCGGATTGGTACAACATAAAAATAGCAACTTGTTTTCATGGTTTGTTCATGTTGAACAATCACGAATTTCCATCATAGCGTCTTAAAAATCAAATGATGGAACGATCATGAACAACCATCATCCCAATGTAGGAATTCGGATGATGGTCCAACATAAAAACCCAAAGTGTTTTGATGGTATATTCCTGAGAACCAACAAGAATTCCCATTTAATCATCAGGAAAATGTATAGTTGGAACCATCATGAACCATAATGGATATTGTTGGTCCATGAGAGTTAAACTTCTCTTGATGGTTGATCATCATTGTATAAAAGAAGAATTCTCCATTATGGAATGATGAATTTGTTGGCATATCAAAAACCATGAACACGTAATGGAAAATGTTGGACCATCATGAATCTCAGTGAAACCAGCATAAACCATCAAAATGTTTTGATGGGACCATCAAGAATTTTGACTTGGGTATGCTTTTGTAATATTTGAAGCTTTTTTGCCGAAAGAAAAATGTTTAGTTTAATAACTGAAGAAGAAATGTCGAACAATCCAGCTTATATTCATACTGAAAACAAAGTAAAACACTGCTAGAAAGTACGTCTAACTTAATAAACAAAAGGTTTAGCTTGCCTGAATTAATATGTTTATGATTTAGAGCCAGAAATGGCTTTACTGCTCACATCGATTTTTTTATCACATATTCAATGTAAGGAATTCATATGGTGACAGAAACTATACCTGATTAAAAAATAAGTAAGAAAACTAGTAAAATAAAATAAAAGATCCTTAGGGGGGTCGTGAGTCGCGCATTAACCTGAGCATAAACTTCCAACAGACAAAGTGAAAAGAATTTGTATATTCCAAGTAGCATTACACTAATAACGTGTTTCAAAGTAATTTCTGAATTTCAAAAATGTTTAATTTTATTTTCCTAATTTTATACATTTTAAATAAACAAGCTTTGTAACGTATTTTGATACCACATTTTCTGCATTTCTTACTTTCTGTCAAAGGAGACTTCTTTTTCTTATGTTTTTTTTTTAAATTTTGTATTTGAGCTAACCACTCATATATCAATATCTGAATTAAATATTGAGTGTATTTGATTAAAGAAACAGCAATTCTAATTTAAAACAGTGCAAAAATTGAATCAGTGAACTGAGCTGAATTCAAACATCAAGAAATTAGGGTTAAAAAAAAATCCCCGAGGTTCCAAAATAAGAAGAAAAAACTTAATTCCGAAATTGAAAGTCAAATATTCTTAGTTTAATAAATTTCATAAACATTTTAAATTACGACGAAGGAAAAATATTAAAACTCTAAACAGAGGCACATCGGAAAAAACTGAGAATTTACTTATATACAATATTTCGGAAGTATAATTAGTTTTAAAAATGCTTAATAAATTTTCTGTAATAATTTTCGTCATAAAATGCATTTATTCTTTAAATTATTGGAAAACATTGAAAAAGCTAATTGTTTGAAATAAACAATAACTAAAAGATTCGAGACACCTAATTCCATGTCATCACGTACTTAAAAATTTTGTCCCTAAAGCATAAAATATATTAAACGAACAAAATTCATAACAAGTAGTGAAAATAAAAAAATGATAAAAATAAAACTAATTCGATGAAAAACAAAAAGTTTTAGATTACTTAAATTGCTCGAACTTAAAGTATTGTTTTATATTTTATAACCGTCGTTCAGCAGCCGATCCAATTTCGGGTTTACGACTACTAATGTTGAACTCCGCAGCCTTGTAATTTTGAACCAATTCAGAAGACAAGGAAACTCCTGGATCAGTACATCACAGAGGAACTGATTTGTTACGGGAACATGAAGGACTTTGCAACTTTCAGATTTAACATGCATCAGTCACCATTTACTACACTGGGAGTCTTCGGTCGGCGGGGATCGAACCCACGAACCAAAGTAATATTATAATATTATAACCGTCGTTGAACAGCCGACCCAATTATGTGGGTTTACGACTACTAATAATCAACTCCGTAGCCTTGTAATTTTGAACCCATGCAGAAGACAAGGGAACTCTTGGATCGAGTATTGGGAGAATGTTACCATCGTGGAGGACTTTTTGATAGAGATAACCCGCTTTTGCGTTACATGGAGAGGAAGACCACGAGAACCTTCCACGGCAAGGGGACTCAAACCCATGATCCTTCTACCACTGAGAATATTACACGTCAGCACTGTGGTCGGTGCAAGTCAGATGCGGAATTAGTATCGACTGGGATTCGAACCCGGTTCGCCTCGTTGGACGGCGAACGTTCTATCCCCTGAGCCATTGCGGCTCAAAAAGCAAAGTAATAGAAATGATTACTCTCTGTTTGACACACTAATAGAAAATTTAATTTCTAAATATTTAATGAATTCAAAAAAGAGTTATCTGGTAAATTTATATAAATAAGTTCTACTTTTACATTTTTTCACATTAATGTTAATATTTGGTATTAAATAATTTACAGCACTATAATTAATTTATTTTAATCTAAAATGAATATTTCTCTTTTTCTTCCTTTTTGAAAGCGAAACAATTTCTTTCAATAGGGCCAAAATAAGTTTGAAATTCATATCTATACAAAGAGTACTTACCCAAAGTGCTCGGTTAACTAATCCAATAGCTGTAGATGATACGCAGAGTTTCGTGGAGTGCCTAATTAGAGATTTGTGAGATTTATCAGGCGCCTTAATGAGTTGCATCGCGCACCTTTGCGAGTTTCCGTCTTACACTATATACAGTTCCGTCAAGCCACACAGCGAATTTCAGCAAAGGACTGTTAATTCCTAAAAAAAAACAATATTTATTTACAAATGAGACAAAGGATATCAGTGATTATTCAATGTGTGATTAAGCCAAATACAAAATATATGAATACAACTTATTTGAAGGGAACAGCTTTTTTTTCCCAATTAAAATTATACACATAAATACGTAAGAAAATGACCACAACAATGATGGCCCGATTATGTGGACACAGATTTTAGAGCTATGGGGATAAAAGACTCCAGGCCAAAGAATAAATTGTCCTAACGGAATCTTTAACTGAAGGCTTTGGCCCACTCTAGGCTGTCATACCAAATAAGATGTGCAAAAACACAAATAGACGCTTTCTGCTTTCCCGTCAACTAGAAGCAGATTTAAAAAAACACAAAATTTCTTGCAATAAAAGAAATTAAAAAAACGTTTATGAAAACTAAGTTATATCGTAGCGTTAAAATAACTTTAAATCAATTTACTGAAGTAAGAATCATAATTCATAACAGTTTCATCATTCATAATTCATAATTCAAAAAGAACTGTTACTACCCGTGGGAAAATTCAATCCAAAAAACAGAGCAAGTCAGCATCCCTAAAACTAAACACAAAAACCAAATTTTCATAAATAATTACCAGAATATACGATTAAGGATAAAACATGAAAATAAAAAGATTTTTATAAAAGGTTTTTTTGACGAAAATTTTAGAAGTTTTATTATTTTTTTTATAGTCGATATGTTATGATAATCAAAATGTAAATGGAAAATGTAATCAAATGGAAGTGGAATGGACCAAAGTTAAGATAATCAAAATGTAAAGGGAAAAAAACTGGAATTTTAATGAGTTACGTACTTCAATTTTGAAGTTCCATAATAAGGGAAGAAACTAAGTTCCAAAATGAAGAATCAAATAGTCTTAGTTCAATAAGTTTCAAAAGCATCAAAAATGACGACGAATGAAAAATATTAAACTGTTAAATCTAAATCGGAAAAACCTGAGAATTCACTTATAAACTCAAAGTATAATTAGTTTTAGAAATACTTTAAAAAAAATTTTGAATTAATTTTCAACATAAAATACATTTATTCTTTTCAATAATTAGAAAAAAATTGTAAAAAAAAAATAGTTTTAATAAACAAAAACTAAAATATTCGAGAAACATATTTCTATGCTGTTACGCCCTCGAAAAATTGTCGCTATTGTATAAAAAATATGTTTTACGATTTTAAAAACAAATCAAAATTCAGAACAAGAGAAAGGAAAAAAAATGAAAGAAATAAAACTATAAGATTAAACTATATGATTTTAAAAAAAAGATAAGATTACTTACACTCGAACTTAACAAGACAATAAAAATATGCTGTCTCAAATTCGAATTCATTATTTGCCGCAACAGAGGAGAAAAAAAAGGAAATATTATAAATTATCTTTTTGAATCTTGCCAAATACAGCTTTTACAGTGACTGCTTGCTTACGTTGAATAGGAAATGCTAAAAGTATTTATTTTAATTTTATAGTTGCCGCATTTAATTTTTTATTGTTGCTTCTGAATAAATCAATTTTTTTATGCTGCATAAGATTTTTTAGCAGACTTGATATATTTTCGTGTCACTAATTTCAAATCCGCAATCTATTTCTATCTCTAAGCTATAGTTTTATTATTATTAAATTTTTTTTTGATCGAATTTTTGTTGATATGTTCAAGTTAAAAAACGTTAGGTATAAAAAGGGGTCGCATAAATGTTGCAATAAACATGTAGGAGAGATACGGCACCATAAAATTACGTAGAAATCCATGTCTATAAAGGTCGTCATACTCCGATAGGGGTGCTTCCTTATTAAGAACTGTTTCTTAGTGTGCTTCTAAACAGCTCGTAGCTGGGAAGAGCTGCGTAAGACACTTCCGCCATGCAGTTTTAATCCCAATGATGTGAGACGATTCCCTTGGGTGTTTATCTCACATTAACGCAACTTCCTATTGTACATAGCGTTTCTAAACTTATACATTTCACCGAAAATTGACTGAAAAAAATCATTTTTAAAAAGAATCTGTCGAAGTGCTCACACCCTAATTAGGACAGATTAAGTATTTATATAAAAGCAACAAAAAACTTGTTCCCCAGTGTAATGAATAAAACTGCATGTTAATGAAGAAAAAAAAATATTTGTTAATTAATAAAATGGGGATGTTAATGAATAATGGATAAAAATGAATATTTGTCATGCCCAAAATATTTAAGTTGGAATGTCATCAAACAGAATGTAAGAACGTTGTGAAATATAAACTATAAGTTTCGATTCTTATAAAACTTTGTTTTTAAAAACCCTTTAATAATATTAAAAAACACTTAAGAAAATAGTTTATTGTGTGTATGTAAAGTTATGCCAAATATTTAAAAAAAATTTGCATATTCATAAGAAGCGTGATTAGCAATTATTTGGACATAAAGAAGCTTCATTTTAGATTTTAAAAAAATAATGTGATTTTTAAAAAAGCTTTTACAAATAATTTTATTGCATCGTTGCAACATCGCAAATCGCTTACAATGCGCAAACTCTTATGAACATAACGTATTAAAACTGTCGAGAAAATTTCAAAATTAACATCACTTACAGAAGACACTCAACAGAGAATAAGCAAAGCGCGTTTCGGCTGTGTATAATGAAGATTCACCCTCTATTTAATATTTCCTAGATGATAATTTGTAATTCTGCCGGAATGAAACCTGGTTTAAAACTTAAGCAGTTCAAAAAAATAAGATTTTTTAATGCATTAAAATTTAAGATAACTACACTACCATGAAAATATCCTTAGTAAACTAAGCAAATGAACAGGTATACCCTAATTACTTAATTAAAAAAAAATTAAAATAAATATGATAAAACAAATTATTAAAGCGCTACAAAATAAAAAATTAAACATTACTTACATTGAAATGCAAAATTTAAGTATCTTTACTCTTACATTAACACAGCTTCAGAAAAAAAAATTCTTTTTTTTTGGGGNGGGGGGGGGGGAATACGGAATATGTAAGAGATGCAAGAAAGAGGAAAGATGCAAATTAAGCTCTTCGCGGGTTTTCAATTGGTTGGAAGTCAGTGACGCCAGCAGTCGCCTGCCTCCTTTCCCCCCTGCTCTCTCCTTGTTAACAATCGCTGTTGCGAGGAAGAGGATTAAAATGTTCATTTTAAAATTCGAAGTCTTATAAATCTCGCCAAGTCTTATTTTAAGCGGATGAAATCTTTGACCCTTGAAACAAAAAAATTCTTTTTAAAATTGCATTTCAATTTTTGCAAAATTTACAAACTGTAGTTAAGAGCTTTTTTCTCGACATGCGCTATGCTGAAATTTTGTTTTCTTTAAATAATAAGAGTTTAATTACTTATTAAATGCTAAACTTATTTGTTTTTCCCTTCAATGAAATAGATAACTTATAGAAACAGACGAGTATTTTATGTGCAAAAAAGTAATATTTATTGAAGCTAATGTTTTCTAGAAACCTTTCTTACCTTACACGCTACACTTTTTAAAGAACTTAAAAATTCTATGCAATATTGATTTTACAAATAAAAAAATATATATTCTATTATATTTTTTTTAACAATTGTAGTTACGCATTTAATGTCAATTGTTTCTTTACTTTAAATACATACATAGTTTATGTTAAGTTTGCTTTAAAAGAAAAGTTTTTAATTTTAGATATTGTATCATGATCAGGGGGATATTCCACCAGCTATTCAATGTCAATTGCATTTTTAATTACATTTTAAAAAACTCCTGAAAAATAATCTTTTCCCCGATTTCTTATTAAAAAAATTTACAACGATTTTACGTCAAATATTGTAGCATTTTCTTTATTTAGCGTTTCTAAAATTCGAACTTTTAAATGACAAAGATATAGTTGTAACATCACGGAATATGACGATTTGGTTAACAGACATTAATTTCTCCCAAATATCTTTCTGAAACTTCGGCACATTTTCAATGTCACGGAAAAACTGAGTTAATTTATAGAGGACACTGTCATGCAATAGAAAAATCAACGTAAAGACAAAAAATTCAAAAAATGAGATTTTTATGAATTTTGCATTTTTATTTGATAGGCAAAACTAATGAAAAAATTGCAAAGTATTTTTATCAGCTTTCTGAAATTCGGTATTAGTTTTGTAAGCATTAGCAATGGATAAGAAATAGTTATAAAGCCGCTTTTATCGAAATGTATTGTGAAGAACTTACTTTTTTTTTCATTGTTTGGCACAATAGGCCTGCAAACATTTTGGAAATTGCAAGCTTCATTTTTTGAAATTTATCCGTCTCTACTAACTCTATATAAATACAGTAATAAGACATTTATCTAGAAATGGCTAATAAAATATATGTTATTTTTTACCTCAAATCACTCTTAATGTCGAGTGAAAACCTTTCATATACAAGCAGGGCCGGATTTACGTATAAGCTAAATAAGCTGTAGCTTGGGGCCCCGAGATGGCAAGGGCCCCCAGATCCTACTTCCCCCCCTCTTTTTTTAAAGTTTTATTCGGAGCTGGGGCCCTCAGAAGCCCAAAAGGCATTTTTTTCCTTTTTTACATTGTCGGACATAATAAATATAAATAAATGACTGAATAAAACAAAAAAACTTCGTTGTCATTAGTAGGGAACATATAATCTTTCACGCAATTTGAGTATTAATAAATTATTTATAAATAAACAATTTTTTAGTTTAAAAGGTAGTTTTTTTTTGCCCCATCATTCGATCATCAGACTATTTTATATCTGTTTCTAAGGATCAGGATTCCCTTTTATTTTACTTTAAAATTGTACAAATGATATATTTAATGCTTTCATGTGATATGCAGCAGTTTTAAATAGCACTTTAAAATATCTAAAAAAGGACAGAAATTGTTAGCTCAGAAAAAAATTAACTAATACTTTTGAATAAGAATTTAAATAACTACACACGTTTGTTTTACTATCTCATTCTATATAGCATTATTTAGAGTAGACAGTTGCGTGTGGGTGTGATGATGACGTAATAAAAGAGGCATACAAAAAA